GGTTTTTCTTTTCTTGGGAGAGTGCATGTGATCAGCACAGGGCCAATTAGCACTGTTCAGAGGTCAGGGGTTCTGCATCCTAGAGCAGAAAGAAAATGCCTACAAGCTTTAACATGTGTCCTGCTGGACACTGTTAGAAGTCACAAAGACTGCTATATACTGCTCTGACCAGCTTCCTCCTGGCACTTTCATCCAGTTTGGAGCGACATCCTGATCCAGGATGGTCTGTGTTGTATCAAAAACCTTCCACTTGATAGAATTCACTCTGCTTCATGGTATTGATAAAGCCTTTGAATATTTTTTTTGTACCCATCTCCTGACTTGTGCCTGTCCACACCTTTTATCACGGAGATCTTTTGACAGTGCTTTGCCACCCATGGCTGATTTTGTTTTTGCTTCAGTTGCAATACCAGGGACTGAAATGCTCCAGGAAAGCTTTTTTTTTTTTTTTTTCATGCTGAGCTAATCAAAATGACCACAGCTGAAAATCAAATGGCTTTGTGTGCCACTGAGAAGGTGATTAGCAGCCCTTTGATTGCGTTTTCAAATTATTTTTAGGAGGGGGTGATCCTTTTTCCAATTCAGTGATTCTGTCTTTGATTTTTTTTTTTTTTCTGTCATGTTGGCGTTATAGCTTTCACTTGGATGTTATACATTGCACTGAGTAATACAGCTGGATAAAACAAAAACGGTCTTAATGTGATATTTTTTTTTTTTTTTTTTTTGTAAAGGAGGGTGATTTTTTTTTTCTATATATTATTATTATTATTATTATTATTATTATTTATTATTAATAATAATAATAATCAGGATTTATATAGTGCTAACGTTTTGCACAGCACTTTACAACACTATATTTCTGTTTGCATTGGAAAAAAAAAAAAAAATTAGCATTTCTTTCCCCCCCTTTAATAAGTTGCCTGCACCCACCCCCCTGGGTGCTGCCTACCAGGTCTCCTACTTCTCTTCACTGTATGGCCCCACCCAGAGCCTTTCCTCCAAAACGTACCAGGTTCACACTGCACAGTTACATAGTCTGGCTGAAAATAGACAAAAGTTCAACCATTTAAAAAAAAAAAAAGTTATTATATATATATATATATAAATATATATATATATATAATATATATAAATATATATAGTATATATATATATCTATATATATATACACACACCCACAGTTGATCCAGAGGAAGGCAAAAAAAACCCAGCAAAGCACGATCCAATTTGCGTCTGCTGGGAAAAAAATTCCTTCCTGATCCCCTGAGAGGTAGTCGGTTATTCCCTGGATCCACTGCACATGTCTGATGTGGGAAAGCCGCACTCATGGCGGCCTCGGGCACTCACTCAGAGTACACCTTTTCCATAGGAATGAGCGCACAATATTGACCAGCCAATCTCTGGAGAAAGGGGGAGCGGCTTTGTGCAGGGTCCTACAATGAAGGTCCCTGGAATGAGGCTAAGTAAGTAAGCCTGAGACTTATTAGACAGCTTTTTTTTTTTGCTTTGGCCCACATGGGGGTACAGGCAACTTCAATAAAAAAAAAAAAAAAAAAAAACCACCTACAGAAAATAATAAACAGCCTGCCCTAATAGCATCACTTCCACACTGGTAGTTTTCCTGCACTTCTTGCAGGGAACATGAAGGGTTAAACTTTGCAAGGATTGATCTCCCTACTGCTGATAGGATTTGGTTCACGTGCGATCGGAGGGGTCCTGTGCGATCGGAGGGGTCCTGTTGCGATCGGAGGGGTCCTGTGCGATCGGAGGGGTCCTGTGCGATCGGAGGGGTCCCTGTGCGATCGGAGGGGTCCTGTGCGATCGGAGGGGGTCCTGTGCGATCGGAGGGTCCTGTGCGATCGGAGGGGTCCTGTGCGATCGGAGGGGTCCTGTGCGATCGGAGGGGTCCTGTGCGATCGGGAGGGGTCCTGTGCGATCGGAGGGGTCCTGTGCGATCGGATAGGGGTCCTGTGACGATCGGGGGTCCTGTTGATCGGAGGGGGTCCTGTGCGATCGGAGGGGTCCTGTGCGATCGGAGGGAAACAAGTCCTGTGCGATCGGAAGGGGTCCTTGCGATCGGAGGGGTCCTGTGCGATCGGAGGGGTCCTGTGCGATCGGGGGGGGTCCTGTGCGATCGGAGGGGTCCTGTGCGATCGGAGGGGTCCTGTGCGATCGGAGGGGTCCTGTGCGATCGGAGGGGTCCTGTGCGATCGGAGGGGTCCTGGGCGATCGGATATTTAGGGGTCCTGGGCGATCGGAGGGGTCCTGGGCGATCGGAGGGGTCCTGGGCGATCGGAGGGGTCCTGGCGATCGGAGGGGTCCTGGGCGATCGGAGGGGTCCTGGGCGATCGGAGGGGTCCTGGGCGATCGGATGAATCTTCTGCGGAGAATGACTTTAGTATACTGGGCCATGGAAGTATGATAGTTTAGACAGGGGCCCCCTCTACCTGGCAGATGCATGCTAGTGCAGTTTGCTGCATCTCTGAATTTGAAGTCCAGGTCAAGTCCTTTATCAGCAGTCTGGGTCCTTGTGCTCACGGTCTCATTTCTGGCCTGTGCTCTGCTGTGCAGGAGGTTACAGCACACTAATATAAAGACTTGTTTCCGGTTCCCTATACTAGATCTATATACAAAGGTAGAAAGAATGGCGCTTTTTTTTTCTAACTTTCCTGGAGTGCAGTTTTAAAGAGTAAACATATTTGATATTTAGAAACCTTTAGTGAATAAAGTAGCTTTTATTGTAATATTTTATTGCATACATTCTTCTATTTAAGGGCTCATGCACATTATTCATGCCACAATTTGGCCCCCCTTCATGGGTCCACAGGTGTTGGACACGGGCGCTCGTACAAATGAATTCCAGGACAAAGCTGTACAGGGCCTTGTGCAATCATGCAGAAGCAGGGCCACCAATAGGGAGGTACAGAAAGCCCCTCCTATACAGGCTTCGGGCCCCTTCAGATCAACAGAGGGCCCATCAGATGTTGCTTGTGGGCACCTCACAGTCCCACTTCCGAATCCTAGGTCCCTACTGGTCATTCCTCATCCCTGAAAAATGGGGGATGGAGAATGTAAAGCAACAGGGGCCACAGCAGAGTGTAATGTAGTAGGAGATGCCGAGTGTAGGGTAATGGGGGGGGGGGGGGGAGTGGGGGTCAGGGTAATGGGGGGGGCCCGATGAGTGTAGGGTAATGGGGGGGGATGCCCGAGTGTAGGGTAATGGGGGGGGATGCCGAGTGTAGGGTAATGGGGGGGGGGATGCCGAGTGTAGGGTAATGGGGGGGGGGATGCCGAGTGTAGGGTAATGGGGGGGGGTGCCGAGTGTAGGGTAATGGGGGGGGGGCCGAGTGTAGGGTAATGGGGGGGGTGCCGAGTGTAGGGTAATGGGGGGGGGGGATGCCGAGTGTAGGGTAATGGGGGGGGGGGGGGATGCCGAGTGTAGGGTAATGGGGGGGGGGGGATGCCGAGTGTGTAGGGTAATGGGGGGGGGGATGCCGATGGTGTAGGGTAATGGGGGGGGGATGCCGAGTGTAGGGTAATGGGGGGGGGGATGCCGAGTGTAGGGTAATGGGGGGGGGGATGCCGATTGTAGGGTAATGTAGGTAATGGGGGGGGGGGATGCCGAGTGTAGGGTAATGGGGGGGGATGCCGCCCGAGGTAGGGTAATGGGGGGGGGATGCCGCCGAGTGTAGGGTAATGGGGGGGGGGGATGCCGAGGTAGGGTAATGGGGGGGGGCGTGATGCCGTCGAGTGTAGGGTAATGGGGGGGGGGGATGCCGCCCCGAGTGTAGGGTAATGGGGGGGGGGGGGGCCGCTGCGCACCGAGTGTGTAATGGGTAGTGTATGGGGGGGGGGGATCGCCGAGTGGTAGGGTAATGGGGGCTGGGGACGCCGCACGAGTGTAGGGTATGGGGGGGGGGGGGTGGCAATGGGGGGGGGGGTGGGGGGAAGAGTGTCTCGATGTGGGGTGTAGGTGGGAGGGGGGCCGCCAACAGTGTAGGGTAGGGGGGGGTGGGGGCCGCCGAGTGTAGCGGGTAATGGGGGGGGGGGGGGGGACGAGTGGCTAGGGGTAATGGGGGGGGGGTGGGGGGGGCCGAGTGGGTAGCGTAGGGAATGGGGGGAGGGTTAGGGACTGATGTGAATGTAATATATATGTGTATATATTACAGATTACAAATATCAGATGTAAGCAATGACATCCCCAAACAATTAAAGTAGGAATAATGACTAAACTAAAAATAAAATCATGAAAATATAAAAAAAATAAAAGGATTACTTTTCCAAAAAAAAAAAAAAAAAAAAAAAAACTTGAAGAGATGCTGTATTTTAAAACTTTGATGTCATTTTTGCCATCTATGGGGCAGGAAGTAAAAACAATGCCGGCTTCTGGCGCTCAGCTTTAAATTTGAGGGGAAAACCTTTAATGGGGTCGCCGGTTCTGGTGAAAACTGTCTGAGGGCCGTTTCCTCTTCTTGTTTTGTCTTTGGGACAGGAAGTGAAGGGAAATTTCCCCAGCGGGGGTACAAACCGCTAAATAAATATAACTTTATAGAAATTTTGAACCCTTCCCAACGTTGGGGCCAGTTCACATCTGAATTCACACGTTCTGTTTCTGACATCCCATTCATTTCAATAGCCTGCCAGATGCACGGGACACACACCAAAAATACGGCAAGCACGACTTTTAGAAATCGCTGCACACACGAACTGCGTGGTTTTGAAGTACAATTTGGTGGCTGCCGACATGCATTGGGTTTGGAGTGCCCTTAACCGTTAATGGCGCCCACACCTGTCCAGTGAGTGAGGGTAGCGTGTTCCCATGCGGAGACGCGCCTTTCTTACACCCCGCTCTGCTGTGATTGGACCCTTATTAGACGCTTACTGTGCTCACTTATGGAAATGTTTTCCACACCCCGGGACGTCCCGTTCTGTTTCTTAGTGGCTGTTTTTCCCTTCGCAGGGCTCCTGTCCTGGTGGCGTTGGCCCTCATTGAGAGCGGAATGAAGTACGAAGATGCCATCCAGTTCATCCGGCAGTAAGTATCTGTCACTTGTCTGTCATGTTCCACCTTTCCCTTCTAGATCTGCAAGCCTCCTGTGAAGAACCCAATAAGGGACTGCATTGCCTTTCCTGGGGAAAATGCTACTCCAGGCTCCATCCGGTGCTTCTCGTACAAACGTGGACATTTAGTCATGTGATCTTTCCCACGTGGAGGTTTGGCGTTCACATAGGTTGGTTCCTCCTTGTTGACAAGAGTTGTCCTTCACTATGAGAGGGTGTCACCATCTTCCTAGATTCCGGCTCGGGGCGGAGGAGCAGAGACTCTGTATGGGCAGAGTGTTCCACATGATACGGCCTGTGGAAATGTTTGTTAGCCAATCTGAGGGGTCACTCCACCCAACATGGATATTTGCATATGGTAGACACTGGGGAGTTAGAACTATTGGGCAGTCTATACTTTCTCCGAGGGACTCTTATTGATGAGATCCCTGTGCTTAGTTCCCAGGTCTGTATACCCGCTGTGCCCATCATGAGAGGTTCCCACCATCCCTGTGCTGAGTTCCCAGGTCTGCACACCCACTGTGCCTATTATAAGAGCTTCCCACCATCCCTGTACTGAGTTCCCGGGTCTGTACACCTGCTGTGCCCATTATGAGGGGTTCCCACTATCCCTGTGCTGAGTTCCCGGGTCTATACACTCACTGTGCCCATTATGAGGGGTTCCCACCATCCCTGTGCTGAGTTCCCGGGTCTGTACACCAGCTGTGCCCATTATGAGGGGTTCCCACCATCCCTGTACTGAGTTCCCAGGTCTGTACACCTGCTGTGCCCATCATGAGGGGTTCCCACCATCCCTGTGCTGAGTTCCCAGGTCTGCACACCCACTGTGCCTATTATAAGAGCTTCCCACCATCCCTGTACTGAGTTCCCAGGTCTGTACACCTGCTGTGCCCATTATGAGGGGTTCCCACCGTCCCTGTTGGGTTGTTTTAGAAGGAGCTGGAATGCCCAAAACCTCTCAGGTGACCATGGACAGGGTCAGGAATAGTGGCAGGGAGATCCCACTGAGTAACCAAGACAGGGACTCCGCCCAGTAGACTCCGCCCATGACTAGAATGTCATTTGTAGGTGGACTTGCCCTTTAATTCATGTTAAGTCCAGTTTTCTAGTATTATGGCTGTAAGTAACCAGCATTGATTGAGGAAACTGTTTTGTTTGGATGATTTTAGCTCAACTGAAGCAGTTTCTGAATAGGAGTATTTGCATTTAGAAGCATTTTTTAAAGATAAACACAGGAGAACCTCCCAAATGCCCAGAATGCACTGAAAAGTGGTAAATTATGAACTATTTCAGACTGTTTCAGAGAAATACAGAGAGTAGAAGCAGAGACAGCAGTATGTGTTGACATTAGTTTAGGTGTGAGTTGCTCATTAACATTTCTTTTGTTTCCAAGGGTGGGAAAGGTGTCTGGTGGAGGGAGTCATTAAGGTCACCTGGCAGGGGGTCTTCTTGAGGAATTTGAGGTGTAAATGTTCATTAACATATCTTTTGTTTCCAAGGGTGGGAGAGGTCTGAGGTGTGAATTGGTCATTACAATGTATGGCAAGCTTGGTAGGAACATCCTGTGTTCAGTGTTTTGTCCATCTGAGTACCTTGAAAACGCTTTGCATGTATTCTTCATGATGAAAAAAGGCTCTGGACAGCATCGAGAACTGGAAGAGTTAAAAAAAAAAAATTTAAACCGCTTATAAAATGCGATTTGCCGCGTTTACAAGCGTTTTGCGTTTGAAACGCTGCTAAAATCGAATGCTGAATGCAAGTTTTCTGCGGTCAAAAACGACTGTAAACTCAAATGCCTGTAAACGTAAAAGGGTGTGAGAGGTCTGAGGTGTGAATGGTCATTAACATATCTTTTGTTTCCAAGGGTGGGAGAGGTCTGAGGTGTGAATGGTCATTAACATATCTTTTGTTTCCAAGGGTGGGAGAGGTCTGAGGTGTGAATTGGTCATTACCATATCTTTTGTTTCCAAGGGTGGGAGAGGTCTGAGGTGTGAATTGGTCATTATATGTGTGACAAGCTTGGTAGGAACATCCTGTGTTCAGTGTTTTGTCCATTTGAGTACCTTGAAAACGCTTTACATGCATTTTTCATGATGAAAAAAGGCTCTGGACAGCATCGGGAACTGGAAGCGGTAAAAAAAAACCAAAAAAACTTAAACCGCTTATAAATGCGATTTGCTGCGTTTACAATCGTTTTGCGTTTGAAACGCTGATAAAATCGAATGCTGAATACAAGTTTTCTGCGTTCAGAAAACCGACTGTAAACTCAAATGCCTGTAAACGACTGTAAACGACGATGTGTACATGAACACATAGGAAAACATTAGGGAGAGTTCAGGGGCTGCTGAAAAAAAACGCAGAACAGCTCCTAAACGTGAGTTTATCAGCTGCAGTGTACATGAGCCCTAACTATGCTGGATATCCTTGAGCCAGGAAATGAGGCGGAGCTCTATGTGACTTGCTGCAGCTTCTAATGCACATGGTGAGACGCTCACAGTGTGCAGTGACACCAGAGTAAGTCATTTCAGTCCAGGAAAGAATCCTACATGACTCTGTAAGACTGAAGGAACCTGTGTTCAGAAACCTGAAGAGGATTTGTTCTTTTCTTGCAGGAAACGGCGGGGCGCCATCAACAGCAAGCAGCTGATGTACTTGGAGAAATACCGCCCAAAGCAGAGGCTACGGTTCAAGGACCCGCACAACCACAAGAACAAGTGCTGCATTATGTAACCGCTGTGACTTATTGCCAAAGCACACACACACCTACATCCGACCCCCGCAAACACACAGGCATTGCCCCTCCTCCACACAAACTGCAGAAAAGCAAGGCAAGATTGAAGTAGAAGCTACCTGGTTGTTTCCACAAGAATTAAATTTCATATAGCTTCTTGTAAATAATAATTTTTGACTGTATAATGCGTTGTGTAATTTGTATTTTGGGGGGGGGTGGGGGTGTTTTGACACCCTAATGTGTGGGCCAGAGTTTGGGGAGGGGGACTTGTAGTCCAGCTGCACATTTTGACATTCTCTATGTTAAAGGGTACGTATTGTTAAAGTTAGAATACACAAACGACTTTTTACTGCTCTACCCTTCGTTTAGACCACGCCTTGGTAGAACTGGCCAGCCCACGCGGATCCCTGTGCTTTGTAACTCATTGCTCTTGCCCGCCCCCTAGTGTCTAGCTGGGATGCAAGGTGCACATGTCACGCATTTACTCGGCGTAGAGCTGTCCTCCCTGTATTCAGGAGTTTTATCTTCGTATGTTGGAGACGAGGAGCAGGAGCACATTATGAGATATTGAGCTAGAGCATACAAACGCAGGTCCGGTGACTCATACAGGCCAGACCAGGACTGACTTGGTCTGAAATTGAAGGTAGAAAATTATAGTTAGCAAGCGGTTTTATTTGTTGGTCTGACTTTGACAAAATTGTACTTATCCTTTAAGACTGGACAGTAAAGCCATGACCTTTGTAAATGTGGTACTTACCTATCTCTTCATTATGCATATACAGGCTGTTGGGGAAACCTTTTAGTATGAAGGGTTCCCACCTTAGACACAGGATTGTTGGGTTTCTACAGACTCTTGGGGGAACCTTTTTAGTGGGAAGTTAAGGGTTCCCACCTTAGACACAGGATTGTTGGGTTTCTACAGACTCTTGGGGGAACCTTTTTAGTGGGAAGTTAAGGGTTCCCACCTTAGACACAGGATTGTTGGGTTTCTACATACTCTTGGGGGAAACCTTTTAGTGGGAAGTGAAGGGTTCCCACCTTGGACACAGGATCGTTGGGTTTCTGTAGGCTCTTGGTGAAAACTTTCTGCCTAGTAGAAAGTATTCTCACCTTAGACACAGGATTGTTGGCTTGGGATAGGTTCTTGGTGAAACTTTTCTGCCCAGCAGGATGTGCTCCCACCTTGGTCACAGGGTCTTAGGGTTAGTTATAGGCTATTGGTGAAATAACCTATAGGAGATATTCCCACATTAGACTCGGGACAACAGAGTTTGTTTAGGCTCTTGGTGAAACCTTTATACCCACTAAGAAGTCTTCCCACCTTTAATCATGGGATTGATGGGTTTCTGTAGGCTCTTGGTGAAACCTTTATACCCACTAAGAAGTCTTCCCACCTTAGACATGGGATTGATGGGTTTCTGTAGGCTCTTGGTGAAACCTGAAACCTTTATGCCCACTAAGAAGTCTTCCCACCTTAGACATGGGATTGATGGGTTTCTGTAGGCTCTTGGTGAAACCTTTATGCCCACTAAGAAGTCTTCCCACCTTAGACATGGGATTGATGGGTTTCTGTAGGCTCTTGGTGAAACCTTTATACCCACTAAGAAGTCTTCCCACCTTTAATCATGGGATTGATGGGTTTCTGTAGGCTCTTGGTGAAACCTTTATACCCACTAAGAAGTCTTCCCACCTTAGACATGGGATTGATGGGTTTCTGTAGGCTCTTGGTGAAACCTTTATGCCCACTAAGAAGTCTTCCCACCTTAGACATGGGATTGATGGGTTTCTGTAGGCTCTTGGTGAAACCTTTATACCCACTAAGAAGTCTTCCCACCTTAGACATGGGATTGATGGGTTTCTGTAGGCTCTTGGTGAAACCTTTATGCCCACTAAGAAGTGTTTCCACCTTAGACATGGGACTGTTAGGTTTCACCAAGAACCTACAGAAACCCATCTGTTCAGTAAGAAGTTTTCACACTTAGACACGGGATTGTTGCCTTGGACAGGTTCTTGGTGAAACCTTTCTGCCCAGTAGGATGTACTCCCACCTTGGTCAAATGAGCTTTGGGTTAGTTATAGGCTATTGGTAAAATAGCCTATAGGAGATATTCTCAACCTTAGACGCAGGACAACAGAGTTTGTTTAGGCTCTTGGTGAAACCTTTATGCCCACTTAGAAGTGTTTCCACCTTAGACATGGGATTGTTGGGTTTCTGTAGGCTCTTGGTGAAACCTATTCTTCCAGTAAGAAGTGTTCACACCTTAGACACGGGATTGTTGTCTTGGACAGGTTCTTGGTGAAACCTTGGAGATCCTATCTTATACTCAGGAGCGCTGGCTTTCTACAGGCTCTTGGCAAAACCTTTCTGCCTAGTAGGATGTGTTCCCACCTTAGACCTAGAATCCTTGGCTCGACTTGGTATTTGGTGAAACCTTTCTATCCAGAATGAAGTGTTCACACCTTAGACACAGGATTGTTGTCTTGAATAGGTTCTTGGTGAAACTTTGCTGCCCAGTAGGAAGTGCTGCCATCTTGGAAATGGGATTGTTGGGTTACTATAGGCTCTTGGTGAAACCTTTCTGCACAGTAGGAACAGATCCTACCTTAGACTCGGGAGCACTGGATTTCTATAGGCTCTTGATGAAACTTTTCTGCCAAGAAGGATGGGTTTCAACCTTAGACCTGGAATCCTTGGTTCAGATTGGTATTTGTCCAGTATGAAGTGTTCCTATTAGTGGGCTAATATAGGCTCTTGGTGAAACTTTTGTTCCCACCTTGGAGCATTGGGTTTGTACAAGCCTTCCATCCTCAATTGCTGACCATTTCCGTAAAGGAATCTGAATTATTTGAAAGGACCCCCACTGTGGTGTCCTAAAATCTAAAAATGATTTGGTACTGGTAGTAAGACAATTAGCCTGCCAGATCTCACTATATGGCATATGTGATCACCAAAATTATCCAAAGACCACAGACTCCTGTAGATCCCAAAATACAAACGTTGACTTTATTATAATTGAAAACAAATCGGCTTTAAATCTGCCGTAATTGTACTTATTTTGTATTGTTTTTATTGTTATATTTTTTTTCTTTTTTTTGGTGCCCCTTGATAGGTGTTGTGCTTCAGTGATGGCTAGCTTTACTTTCAACTTTCTCTAAATTTCTTCTTTGCTGCCGCTTTGAAGATGAAAGTGAGCGCATATTTTATCTGTTTGAAAACCTTAATAAAATGTATCTAAATTTAAATATTATATGTTCTATTTTGTGATGTATTTGACCCTGGGATAACATTGGTCATTTTTTTAAAATCCGAGTGAAAAACTTCAGTTATGGTAAATTTTTCCCAAAGTACACGATTTTTACTTCGGTTTCTGCTCCCTCCATTGACCAAGTCTTGTAATTGTATGCCAGACGGCACAGTCCATGTTCTTGCAGCAAGACTGTGTGAGAAATACGGTGGTAGGTCACTTAAGCCGGCCATACAGGTGGCGGTTTGATAAAGTGATCACTCTTTCAATTCTTTTCTTTTTCTTTTTTACGTTTTATGTTGAAACCTTAAAGCAATCGGTGATCTAAAATGGGAGTTTTAGAGCAACTGCAAGAGAGTCCAAATCAAAATTTTGCTGAAAGCAACAGAATTAAAACTATTTGGGTGAATTAGAATTTTTTTCCATATCGTTTCCTATTAAATTTTGGTAAGCTGCAAAAAAAAAAGCTGTCACTTTATTGCTCGTTTTTTAACGTCATTTAGTCAAATTCTGTTGGTCAACTGAACTCATGGGTGGTAGATTGCTTAGTTTTTGGTGATTACTTGCTGTCGTCTGTGCGGCTCCCATTCATTTGATAATGATTGAAATTCACTGAAAACTGTCACATGTATTGCCAACTGTAAAGTCTTCTGATTTCATTTGAAGGTATGTGGCAAATATAGGCAAACTCGGCACTCCAGGTAGGGTGAAAGTACAAATTCCATCATGACTGTGGGGGAGTCCCTGTTACAGTGCCTTATGGGACTTGTAGTTTCCCAGCAGCTGAAGATCTTAGTTTGCCTGCCCCTTCGCTGTAGACAAAGCTTTGATTGAATACTTGCAGTGAGCTAAGGGGAGGAGTACAGGCCAATGACTGTACTACATAGGCAGGTAACACAGCATGCATATGCTCTCCCGGAGCACTACATGCCTTGCGTATGTGTACAACTTCATTAAAAGGAATATTTAAAGGGTGTTTTATTGCCCTGATGCTACTTATATGTGCAAAGATGGTGGCACTCTTGTGCTGGGAGTGCGCTCACTCAGTGCCCCTAGCACTGATTGCAATCGTTCTGCGACGCCAGCACAGTGGCCAGCACAGTGGCCGCGGTCTCTCTGCGACGCCAGCACAGTGGCCGCGGTCTCTCTGCGGCGCCAGCACAGTGGCCGCGGTCTCTCTGCGGCGCCAGCACAGTGGCCGCGGTCTCTCTGCGGCGCCAGCACAGTGGCCGCGGTCTCTCTGCGGCGCCAGCACAGTGGCCGCGGTCTCTCTGCGGCGCCAGCACAGTGGCCGCCGTCTCTCTGCGGCGCCAGCACAGTGGCCGCCGTCTCTCTGCGGCGCCAGCACAGTGGCCGCCCAGCACCTCTCTGCGGCGCCAGCACAGTGGCCTAGAGGACTGATCACTCCCAGTCACTATATCCAATTGGGAGCTGGTAGGCTAGCTCCTGGTCATGTGGTCACTAACAGCCAATCGTGTGATCGGGAAGCCAAGGAAACACCTTGGTGGGAGCCAGCACTAAGGGTCAACCTAACAAACTCCATGTTCTACTTTACAGCCTGTACAAGCATAAGAGATAAGGTAATACAAACAATCTACAAAGCTTAGGGATCTGCTGCCCACTTTTTCTTCAAACATGTCAGGAAAGAGCAGTTACACTAAACTGTTAATGTATATACTCCATATGAATGAATATGAATTCTTATAGTCTGGTTATATCTTGTTGCTAAGAACAGTAAAACGATTTGAGCCGAA